CCCATTACCCAGTTTCTCCCTTGTTTGATTGTGTTCATCGATTTCAGGTGTTTCTCGTTAATTCCCTCATTTGGTTCCAGTTATTTAAGCCAGTGTTTTCCTGATACTCTTTGTTTGTAAATAAAATAAAAAGCACCCCTCATCACGTCTAAGTGAAGATATTTAACTTTGTAATGAATGACTTAATTCATCAATTTATGTGTTTATTTATGTATTTATTGTTTGTAATAAATAAATAGTTTATTGTCGCTCATAAAAATGTTCATTTGTATTTAGATGACAAATAATATTGTGAAGAAAATGAAAATTCCTTCAAATGTGGTTTTAAATCAAATATGCCAAATTCTTAGAAATTTAATCTTTTTATTCATGATGGTTTTATATGTTTTTGATGAACTTTTATACCATTTTCAGAAAAAGTACAAATGTAATGACTCTAAAAATGTAATGTGCTGTAAAAAGCAACATGCTAATAATAATTATTATTATTATTATAATTAAAAATGTTATATATCATTCTAGGTGCAAAGTATTTTTACAGATATCATTTGTATTATATGTGTTATTTTTGGAATTAGTTACGTTTTTGGGTAGTCATTCCACATGACATTTTACAATTGTAAAATGTACAGGTTAAAACCCTACATGGGCTCACTCACTCATTACCTTTTGTGGGTACGCGTTTGTATATCAGATAGATGTATATAATTTTCATTTTGTATTTCCTGAGGTTCAAGTGCGGCCATTTCTCTATATAGCCCCATAAAAGCTACTATATTTTTCTACATGTCGGTTGCACCACATAACAGTATTTTCTTCTCTGTATGCATGTAGACTCATCTCAAACTAACCTGGCAGAGCAATAATTTTAATCTACACCATGGTCCACTTTGTAGCTTATTCTGGACAAGAACACATTTTTGTTTTAATGTTATAGCCTAAATTTAAAATGGCTAGAACAGAATATGGTGCATCATTCTCAATCAGTAATCAATCATTTTCAGAAAAAGTACAAATGTAATGACTCTAAAAATGTCATGTGCTGTAAAAAGCAACATGCTAATAATAATAATAATTATTATTATAATTAAAAATGTTAGATATCATTCTAGGTGCAAAGTATTTTTACAGATATAATTTGTATTATATGTGTTATTTTTGGAATTAGATACGTTTTTGGGTAGTCATTCCACATGACATTTTACAATTGTAAAATGTACAGGTTAAAACCCTACATGGGCTCACTCACTCATTACCTTTTGTGGGTAAGCGTTTGTATATCAGATAGATGTATATCATTTTCATTTTGTATTTCCTGAGGTTCAAGTGCGGCCATTTCTCTGTTTGACCCCATAAAAGCTGCTATATTTTTCTACATGTCGGTTGCACCACATGACTTTTTTGTTGCACCACATAACAGTATTTTCTTCTCTGTATGCGTGTAGACTCATCTCAAACTAACCTGGCAGAGAAATAATTTTAATCTACACCATGGTCCACTTTGTAGCTTATTCTGGACAAGAACACATTTTTGTTTTAATGTTATAGCCTAAATTTAAAATGGCTAGAACAGAATATGGTGCATCATTCTCAATCAGTAATCAATGCAATCTCAATGGTTTACAATAAACAACTAATGAGAGCTAAATTAATTAGTTTATGAAGTCAAGTGTTTTTCGTTATTTGCTTTGGTACTATTTTGGTAACTTGACACAACACTCTCATGTAACTATTTTACGGAAAATCTGCTTACGTCCCATTGATGGTTATGTTTAGGGATGGATCTTCACTCTTATGTTTTTTTCTAACTCATACCTTTTTTGTACATATCACATCGTATGAATTCCTACGAAGTCACCACCTCGTAAAATTCAGTTTTCTCATGAGATGACTTGTTCAAACCACAAGATTATTGCAGCATGTAATGAGAACGTGCTTTAATCACCACAACACAACAGTATGATCTTCTTTCAATGTAGTGTAGCTTAAAAATAAGTTAATTCGGTAACACTTCAGGGAACAATTCTCTCTAGTATCTAGTTGCTTATAAGCATGTTATTACTAACATACTGGCTGTTTATTCGTACTTATAAAGCACTTATTCTGCATGACCATATTCTACATCCCTGCAATTCTCTCTAGTATCTAGTTGCTTATAAGCATGTTATTACTAACATACTGGCTGTTTATTTGTACTTATAAAGCACTTATTCTGCATGACCATATTCTACATCCCTAATCATACCCAATACCTAAACTTAACAACTATCTTACTTAACTATTAATAAGCAGCACATTTGCAATTTATTGAGGCAAAAGTCATAGTTAATGGTTTATTAATAGCAAGAATTAGACCTTAAAATAAAGTGTGACCGTTAATTCGGTATCAAACAAAGCATGTAAAACATCCTTGTTGCTGAAATACAGACACAGAAATACAGGCTACAGTTGTCACATTAGAAAATACTCTTACATTAACTCTCTTACATAACTGACAAAATCCATAATGTTTATATATGCATCTATAACTAAAGCCGATTTTTTTCAGCTCAAGGGTGAGTTACATTTGAAAGATGAAGGACAGACTGTGGTTTGGTGCTTGTGTAACGGTTTCTGTTTTAGGATGTGAAAACTACACAATTGGAAAAATCCATAATGTTTGTGACTGTATCTATAGTTAATTTTTTTCAGATCAAGGTTGAGTTACAGTAATTTGGCAGTCTCATGTTGACCTTTGCTCTAAAGAAAAAAAAAATGTTTTGCCTGTGTCTTGTCTGTTGGGCCACGTGATTGATTTAAGGCCTGCTGGTTAACGATTAGTCAATTAACAATAGCCTGTGAAGAATTTGCCCAAATTTGCATCCCTAGCCCACACAGAACAGAAGTCAAAGGGCGGTTTTTGCAGGGTTTCTCAGGATTTGTAGACAGCAGGCCGACTGTGGCTCGCGATTCAGGCCTTGTGTCAGAACTGCTGTTAGTTTGAGTCTGAGAGAGTCTCACTGCGGCTCTTCTATTAAATCTATTATTCTCTTCTCTCTCTCTATGAGGGCTGTAATTGAAAGTGTCCACCCACCTCTCTGCAGCAACACACACACACACACACACACACACACACACACACACTCAGGTTTGTTTTTGTGAAAAGTGGGGACATCCCATAGGCGTAATGGTTTTTATACTGTACAGACCGTATATTCTATTGTCCTACACCAACCCTACCCCTAAACCTACCCCTCACAGGAAACTTTGTTTGT